CGTCATTTCGACATTACAGGGAACCTAGCTAGCATAATTGCGTTGCCCAATTTGAAGGTTTCTTTATAAGCAAGGGAGATATTCGAACGGACGCACGAGCGTTTTTTGCTTAACGGCTCCTATGGTCTCTCTCACGATCTTGCGGGGCTTGCTTTGGATATTTTACGTGCGCTTTCCCACGTGATCGGTCTTTCTCATTAGGGCTGTGACGGGTAGGAAAAAATGGAATCGAGTACCCGCATGAAATTACCCGAATCGGAATCGAGTACCCGAAAATGTAAGGAATACAGCGCTTCCGTCAACTTTCTGAATATTCAATCACGATTTGACAGAGATTATTATAGAAAACTTGAAAGGGTGGCAATAAGACATTAAATATGATCTCAAGCTATATAAGTTACGTCTGGTTAACCAATATGAGTAACACGATTGCTTACATTGCTCGTTAAAAAAACCCTTTTCGTTCCTACTGTTACTGTAACTTGATTACTCAGATAAATTACAGTCGTTAATAATAACCTCCATTAATCGACAATACCAATGATGTAAATGTGTGTTACGTCAATAATGAAAAAGACAAGTTACTATCTGCCCTTGTCATTACAGAATTCTCTCCCTTTCCGGGTACTCGATTCCCAGAAATAGGACTCGATTCCAGCTGTACCCGACCCGGATTCGAGTACCCGTCCCAGCCCTATTTCTCATAAGGTATTACGCTCTATTTGGTTTGATTGTTTTATTTCATTATTATACGTTGTCAAGTTCTGCAAGTGTCCGTGGACGATGGTGATGTTTACTGACGCGTCGATCAGGTTCGTTCCATAGTGGCTCGATCGGGTTCAGATCAGGCGATTTGGAAGGCCAGGGAAGGACATAGCCGTTTGCATTGGCGAGGATAAGCACCTGTTACACACACATGAAACACCGGGGATCAAACCACACAACTTCTCTTCTCTCACTATCCTGAAGGGGGCATTGTCAGCACAGGTGTTACAGGTGTGTTCTGGATACAGAAATATACACTGAACAAAGTCAAAATACAAAATCTCACCTGGTATCACCAGGTACACTAAACGTTCGGCGAGTACTTTTTCTTTTCCGCAACCAAAAATCAAAACTGTATGTAATAATGATAATAATAGGTGCATTTTATAATGGGCTAAACTCCTTTCACTATGTGAATGCTATAGTGCTAACAAAAGTCCTCTGGTATTTACAAAGTTTGTAATTTGGGGCAAGATTAGGCTCTGTTGTAAAACTGATTAAACAGGTAAGCTTTAAAGTCCTTTTGTAGGTGCAGATATTTTCAATTTTTACAAGTCAGCATGCAGTTCATTCCACAATGTTGCTGCATTGAAAGAAAAGGATCTTTTCCAAAACCATCTAAGCTTTGGTTTTGGCACACTGGTTTTGTTTTGGTTTTTGTTGTAGTATATGGTCATTGCCCTTCAACTGGTTGCGAGTGGTATTGTGCAATGCGAAATATTTGTTACTGTGTATGCTCGTACTTATATAAGGCAATCAAATGTATCTAATACAACAGTGTGACAGCTCCGATCAAGAAAACAGGACAAATCAGAATGGATCCGTCCTTGGGTAAATTTCTGTATACAGAAACGTACCTGGGGTAGATGTCTTTAGTACCTGTACCAACAAAGCCCCTTCAGCCTCACTATCCAATACACCACAGAGTGGGTCTTTCTTGCCAAAGAACAGTGAGTGAGCTGGGTTTTACGACGCTTTCAGCAATATTCTAGCAATGGTACAGTGGAGGACACCAGAAATGGGCTTCACACATTGTACCCATGTGGCGAATCGAAGCCGTGCCTTCAGGACAAAGAACACAATACCATCAATATATAAGAAACATTTATTCAGCACCAGACAATAGCAGCTGATAACACAGTTCTTAAAACGACCTTGAAAGAAGAAAATGCAGCAGAAGTGAAAAGCACTTATTGATCTTAAGCCAGTGCTCATTAATGTCAATTTATACATCAAGGTTAACAGATTCTCCTCCTAGATTAAATATACTGTATCAAAATAATAATCAAACCGCCTTTTGACCCTGGAAATTAATGTGACCTAATTCTATTTTTTCACACTTTTGATTTCCCCCTCACACCTCTGGATCTTTTGTTTGCATGTTGTTGAATTCTGCTGAAGCAACATTCCAGCCTTGTGACACAGCCTGTATATAACTGAGTCTGGACCAGACGATCCAGTGACTGACAAAATGAGCATTAAATCCATGACTGACTGAGTTTGGTTTTATGCTGCTTTTAGCAATATTCCAGCAACATCACAGCGGGGGACACCAGAAATGGGCTTCACACATTGTACCCATGGCGTGATGAGCCAATGCTTTGACCACTAGGCTCCCCCATCGCCCCGGTTAAATCCATGACAATCCTACAAGTCATGACAAATTGTATTCAAACCCATAACACCGCACATCCCTTTAGGCCACCTGCCACCATTTTGTTTTCTAGTATCTGTTCAATATGGCACTATGACTCTAACCTAACATAAGCGAAGTTCTTTTTCTAAAAGTACACATCAAAAGCCTCACAAAATCAGTGCAGTTTCACCTGGGAGATGATATTGAAGTTAGTGAAAATGGTTTTACACTGCTTTTAGCAATATCATGGAAAGGGACACCAGAAATATATTTACACATTGAATCAAACCTGTTGTTTTTGTGTGACGATTGCTCTAACCACGAGGCTAACCTATGGGTCACAGGAGTTGGATATCGTCTCTACTCCTACAGTTAACTGATGAAGGTGATTTGACAAAGAAACACAAATATATAAGGCTATCACTTGCACTTAGGAGTGCAGATTCTAAATAAAAATGACAGAATTTGACTTAAATGATTTATAATTTTCCTTCAGTCTCAATGTCTGAAAGGTACTGGAGACAAAACATTAAAAAATTGAATATTCCTCCTACATATTTTACTGATTACCTCAAATATTATATTATGAGGCTATGGCAGTTTTTTTACTGTATATTTACTAGTAAATTGTAACTGCCTACAACAAATATCCAACATATTTAAAAAAAGGCACTTGACCATCAAAAGGGAGATAATTGCAGAAGGCATTACAAACATCTGAAACACAAAGAAAACAGCAGTACAAAGATCCAACCTAAACACAGGGATTGTTTCCTTATTTCCAGGCAACACCTGTGCAGGTACAATGTTACCAAACAGGTGTCTTGTATTGTCAGGCTGGATCCAGCGCAGGTAACATTTCCCAGCACAAGAGCGTGGCAGCATTTCTATTGGTCTATTCAAGCTCTATGAAATCATACCCTGATATAAAATGTAATATCAATATTACCCATAAGGACATAGGTATAACCAAAAATGTTTTTGGTATTTGTCACTCAGATTTATTCTGTTAGCTGACAACTGATGAGTCAGTTGTCTTCATTGTTTGCTATGGGGCACATAGCATGATATCAAATGATTAAATATTATGTCATCCCGTGTTCAAGAAGTCAAAGAATGTGCATTCAGTTTGTCTGAGCTGATGCTGGACTTGAAATTTAGAAATGAAATTCAATCATCCTTTGGAATACTGACCTGACAATTACACTGCATCAAAGGAGAACAATCTCTGGCTGTTGTGATTGGATGATTTTTAATGCAAGATATTTGTAGTTTTAATGTGTATCCATCCTGTCACTGAGTGACCATATTTTAAACTATTTAGTACTGCCTTTTTCAACAAGATGACTTATGCTGGATGTGACCACAGTGAGTGTTGTTTTTTTACCTGTGTTTAGCAATATTCCTGTAATATCATGGCAGGGGACACCAGAAATGGGACACAAGCAATGGGCTTTAAGCACATATAAGTACCCTTTAAAGTTGATTCAAGGATGGGGAAACTTAGGACAAACTTTCCCGAGTCCTTCAGCGTGGCGAGTGAACGCTCTAACCACTAGGCTACCCCAACCGCCCGGATGTGACCACAGATATTTTGGAGACAGTCTGGTTGGAACTGGGGTTAGGCTGTTTATCTTCCTGTACTCTGACAAGGATCTAGTAGAGGTAGCCATCTTTTGGGTTTTATTGCAGCTTTAATGCCAGGGCTGTACATGACAAGGGGAGATAATTGTAGAATGAAATGATTGCAGATTGACAATGCAGATTGAATGAAGACAGGAGACAACTACATGAAGAGGGGAGACAACGGCTGATTGAATGGAAACAACCACATAAAGGGGAGACAACTGCTGAAGGTGACAATACATTGTACATGCTCATTTTGCAGCCTAATCAATGAATCATGCTTTCACTGGAATCAATATTTTTCATATTGCACAAAAGAGCAGCTTCAATACCTTGAGCTGTGGAATCATTGGCATGTTGGCTCGACATTTTTTTTGTATGTGGGTGTGTGCATGTATGCATGTGAGAAATTTGGCACGTGTGTTTGGTTGTGTGTATGTATGTCTGTGAGTGAGTGAGTTTAGTTTTACGCCACACTCAGCAATATTCAAGCCATATGGCGGCGGTCTGTAAATAACCGAGTCTGGACCAGGCAATCCAGTGATCAACAGCATCAGCATTGATCTGCACAATTGGGAGCCGATGACATGTGTCAACCAAGTCAGCGAGCCTGACCACCCGATCCTGTTAGTCGCCTCTTACAATAAGCATTGGTTGCTGAAGATCAATTCTAACCCGGACCTTCACGGGTCGTGTGTGTCTATGTATGTGTGTGGGCGCATTGTATTCTTTAGGCCAGACCAATTTTATTTCTTGTTTTATGGATCCGCCGGTCGTATTTTTTCAAGAATAAGAAAAACAATAAAAGTTAATTTTCCCCACTCAAAAAATAAAATCCTAATGTTTTTATGTTCAAAAATGTAAATTTACAAGAAAAGTTTGTTTCAGATTGTGTTTTGCCCCATATGCACTTCATAAATTGCCAAAAGTATAATACTCTTAGTATTTATTTATTTTTATCTTTTTTCCCTCCTGCCTTTAGGCTTTCTGAGTACAAAAATCCGTAAAACAAGAAATAAAATTGGTCTGGCCTTACTCAACTTATCATCAACCATTGTGTAGGTTTATGTCTTAATTTGTCTTATCATAATTGTATATACAAGATTGTACTTTCAGTGTCTCAAAGGCCATACCTGGACAGATTTTATTGTTCTGTGAACATGTAGTGTATATAACATGTGAAACTACAATAAACCTTATTCTCTCTCACTGATTGTTTTGTGGAATGGCAGCCAGGAAGGAGAATAATATCGATCATATTCCCAGCAGGACCAAGAGGAGGCCAATACAAATTCAGCATCACACATGGCAGACAGTTACCTGTGACTGGTGAATGTTGAATAGTTAAAGCTGAGCAGAACATAGCAATCTGTGAATTAGTGACTAGTGAATATCGGTTAGGCAAAAAAAAACCCATGTGTGTTTAGGGTAACATGAAATACTAAAACAGGGTCGGTAGGTAGGGTTTATCTTTTTTTTTTTTTCTTACTTTTTTTTTAAATGCACTCGCATTTTTTCATAAAATCACATATTTACGTAATATCAGGAACCAATTTTGAAAGAAAAGAGGGGAAACCAGTTTAAAATTTTAATAACTGAAGCAACAACACTTTCTAAATTTAACATTTATGAAAAACAGGAGTAAGTGAGCACAGGTCACATATGGTCGCCCCCCAACAGTGGGGAGGACATACTGTTGGAGTAGCAAAATGTTTCGCTGTCTTTCAAAAAAAAAGAGAAAAAAGTTTAGGGTTGTGAAGTATGTGATGGGTTCGGTCGGGAAACTGTAAACACACAATTTATTTTTTGGGGCCTTAGTAAAACCTGAGCTACAAACCACATCTAAAATTTCACAGCTACCCTTCCTAGAGATTGACCTTACATCAGAGGTCATGCTTAAAACATCTCAGTAGAACAACAGTGTACAATATTTACGTTCAGGGCACAATCTGTAATCCATGCTCCCCAATACACAAAGGTCCAAGATATCAGACCTCCCTGTGGAATGAGACTTATTAAAGTGACATCTGTTTAGTTTAACAGGCCATCTTTAGACATTTTTCATTGTTGGTTGTGAACATTTGAGACATATATATTGACAATGTACATGGCAAGCTTGACAATGATTTCTGAGACATTAATTTTTTAGCGTGGTTTTGAACTAAGAGAGAATGAGTGTGGTTTTATGCCGCTTTTAGCAATATTCCAGCAATATCATGGCAGGGGGACACCAGAAATGGGCTTCACACATTGTACCCATGTGGGGAATGGAACCTGGGTCTTCAGCGGGACAAGCGAACACTTCAACCGCTAGGCTACCCCACCACCCCGTTTTTGAGCTGAGATTTCCAGCATAAACACATACATTTGTATCAGTGTACAGGCATAACTATTTAAATCCTATTTGAAAATTATACTGAAAAATCAACATTAAGTTAAGCCAGGCTTTTAAAAAATAAAAACATTTAAATTTGAAAATGATTAAATATGAAAAGTAGTGGTTATATTATCATAAATTGCTATCAACTTGATCAATAGCCATAAAATACTCATATGGCAAGAATTAAAACCAGCTGAAAGGTTCAAAACGGAGCAAGTTATAATCTGAGGATGAATCATAACTAACTAAAATTCAGAGAAAATGAACAAAAATAATTTGATTTCTGAGTTATTTACCTTACCAACCTGAACGTTTTGGCTTTTTAACATAAATCGGGTCTCATGAACAAATTGTCCAATGACGTATATTGAACATCACAGCAACAACAATCACACAGGTAATTCAACCATAAAAAATATTTGCATCGTTTTCACAAGGAAAGTTCATACTTCACCTCATGAGAACATCAACCAGATAACACACAAACACATGTATCCTTCCGCCTCGTAATGCTGATTCTGTTAGGACAAACTACATTCGTCAACATGTATTCCTCCGACACAAGCATCACCAATGCCAAGGTGATGGATCATCTTCACAGTTCGATCCTTTTTCTTCTTCTTCTTCTCTGTCTTCTTATCGTCCCCCTTCTTTTTGTCATCAGCCTATAAACAAAGACACAATGTAAGTTGTCTCTTTTTGTATGAGTGAGTGAGTGAGTTGGTTTTATGCCGATTTTAGCAATATTCCAGCAATATCACGGCGGGGGACACCAGAAATGGGCTTCACACATTATACCCATGTGGGGAATCGAACCCGGGTCTTCGGTGAGACGAGAGAACACTTTAACCACTAGGCTACCCCAAGATTGAAATACAGGCTACCTCATGATGGGTCTTTTGGACGAGGGTTGTGGGGTAGCCTAGATTCTCAGAGCGTTTTGTCAGTGAAGTCATGCCTAAGACCCAGGTTTGATTCACCATATGTGTGAAGCCCATTTTCAGGTGTCCCACATCATGTCATTGCTGGAATACAGTCAAACCCTGTTTATCCGGACATTTTGGTTACACTCAGAAATCGCTCGGATAGCGAGGCATCCGGTTAACTGGATCAAACAAGCAAAACGTATTGATGTATATTGAAAAATTATTCATGTACAATACAATTACAATGTAGTTAATCCTAATCCAAATTAACATGTGTTTTCGTTGCTGATGAGATTCTCTCACACCTGCCAAATCCTAATGAACAACTGAAGTGACCCGCATCCCTAGTGTTTTGATGGGTATTTAATCAATTCACATCAAATGGCTGCCGAGAGAGATAAAAAACTGAATACACTTAGTCGTGCGGTAAACATGCACATACACATGCACATGAGTACAGATCTTTCCGTCTGGGTAACTGGTTCATTTTTCAATGGAAATCTATCGGAATGATTTGAAAATTCTCATCCGGGTCCGGAAGCGCGGGGTCCGGCTAAGGGAGTACAATTACAGAGGAACAGGCTGCACGCTTAGCCAGGGACTAGGGACCTGTCCTATAAAGACAGCAGCCTGGGGAACATGGGCGTATGGACAAGAGAGGCCTAAAGGAAAAGTTCTCATTCGTACCACTCAGCGTCGAAGCAAGAGAGAGAAATGCAAATCGTGAGATAGGATAAGTTTAAAAATCATAAATATGCGAAATGCAGTCCTGCTGGTATATTTGCTTTAATGTTTATTTACTACATCCCCCAAAAGTTTTTATGATAATGGGTATTGCATCCCAGATGAGAATCTCACCCCTCAACCCGCTCACCTTCTTGGGGGCCCCCTTCCCGGGGTAGTTCTGTCCTTCGATGGTCACCTCCTCACAGTTGTCTTGTTGCACCAGGAAGTCCTTCACGTCCCACGCCTTTGCCCCGTCCGACACCATGAACAACACACGGTTGCTGCCCACCACGTACCTGAAACAGGTGGCAGTCATCATCATCATCATCATCATCATCATCATCGTCGAAATCACAAAAATCATCAAAATCAAAGGCAAGACCAATTTTATTTCTTGTTTTATGGATCCGCCTGTCGTATTTTTTCAAGAATAAGAAAAAAATTAAAAATTAATTATCCCCGCTCAAAAAAATAATAAAAATAAAATTCTTATGTTTTTATTGGCCAAAGTGTAAACTTACACGGAATTGTTTTTAGATGGGTTTTTTTGCCCTATATACACTTCATGATTTGACAAAAGTAAAATACTTTTAGTACTTAAAAGAAATTTATTTATTTTCCTCCTGCCTTTAGGTTTTCTGAGGACCAAAATCCTTTAAACAAGAAATAAAATTGGTCTGGCCTTATCATAATTATAATCAATGTCGTCATCATCACCATCAAAAGGAATAGTGAATTTGTAAAGCATCTAAGTTCAACTTAGCCAGATAACATTGGTGCCCTGTGGTGCGGTATATATGACTATGTCATGATTGTCAGGTCTGGTGCTGACCATGCCGACTGAAGCTTCATTTTAATGTTCAGTGACGTAGGAGGGAAGATAGTTCTACAGCACAGGAGCTCCTATTGACTAGGCTTGGTCATAACTGGCTGGGTTAGCAGTTGGCCTGAGAAGTCAATATGGGTCATATGTCTTAAATTAAAAACATCTGTTCTACACTGGACACAAGGCATGGTTTCTAAATGGGGCACATAACCTGAGTCTTATACATGGTGACACAAGGCATGGGTTGTACACTGGACACAAGGCATGGGTTCTGTACAGTTCACAAGGCATGGGTTGTACACTGGACACAAGGCATGGGTTGTACACTGAACACAAGGCATGGGTTGTACACTGGACACATGGCATGGGTTGTACACTGGACACATGGCATGGGTTGTACACTGGACACAAGGCATGGGTTCTGTACAGTTCACAAGGCATGGGTTCTGTACAGTTCACAAGGCATGGGTTGTACACTGGACACAAGGCATGGGTTGTACACTGAACACAAGGCATGGGTTGTACACTGGACACAAGGCATGGGTTGTACACTGAACACAAGGCATGGGTTGTACACTGGACACAAGGCATGGGTTGTACACTGGACACAAAGGCATGGGTTGTACACTGGACACAAGGCATGGGTTGTACACTGGACACAAGGCATGGGTTGTACACTGGACAAAAGGCATGGGTTGTACACTGGACACAAGGCATGGGTTGTACACTGGACACAAGGCATGGGTTGTACACTGGACACAAGGCATGGGTTGTACACTGGACACAAGGCATGGGTTGTACACTGGACACAAGGCATGGCTTGTACACTGCACACAAGGCATGGCTTGTACACTGGACACAAGGCATGGGTTGTACACTGGACACAAGGCATGGGTTGTACACTGGACACAAGGCATGGGTTGTACACTGGACACAAGGCATGGGTTGTACACTGGACACAAGGCATGGGTTGTACACTGGACACAAGGCATGGGTTGTACACTGGACACAAGGCATGGGTTGTACACTGGACACAAGGCATGGGTTGTACACTGGACACAAGGCATGGGTTGTGTACAGTTCACAAGGCATGGGTTGTACACTGGACACAAGGCATAGGTTGTACACTGGACACAAGGCATGGGTTGTACACTGGACACAAGGCATGGGCTGTACACTGGACACAAGGCATGGGATGTACACTGGACACAGGGCATGGGTTGTACACTGGACACAAGGCATGGGCTGTACACTGGACACAAGGCATGTGCTGTACACTGGACACAGGGCATGGGTTCTGTACAGTTCACAAGGCTGGTGTTGTACATTGGACACAAGGCATGGGTTGTACACTGGACACAAGGCATGGGTTCTGTACAGTTCACAAGGCATGGGTTGTACACTGGACACAAGGCATGGGTTGTACACTGGACACAAGGCATGGGTTGTACACTGGACACAAGGCATGGGTTGTACACTGGACACAAGGCATAGGTTGTACACTGGACACAAGGCATGGGTTGTACACTGTACACAAGGCATGGGTTCTGTACAGTTCACAAGGCTGGTGTTGTACACTGGACCCAATGAGATCCACCTACCGTTGCATCTCCATGTTGGCGTTGAACATGCTGCTGTGCCACAAACCGGTGATCTTCTCCGTTTCCTTCTCTGTCGGGTTGCCTGTGTACAGAAACATCCAGTGAGTGAGTGAGTGAGTGAGTGAGTGAGTGAGTGAGTTTTTATGCCACTTTCAGCAATATTCCAGCAATATCACAGCAGGGGACACCAGAAATGAGCTTCACCCATTGTACCCAGGTAGAGAATCAAACCCAGGTGTTCAGCATGACGAGCGAACACTTTAACCACTAGGCTATCCCACCGCCCCTTAATGCAAAAGAAAGGAACAGACATAGTCTGCTTCATGTATGGAACATTTCTGGAGCGTACAAAAGATTGCTCTTACAGTATAAGGGCTGTGATACTGACCTGTTACTAGTGGTAGTCCGGTTAATTGAGATAATCAAAGATTGGTCGCGGTGACTAATCGACCAAGCAATCGATCATGTTTTCTCATGATCGAACACAAACAATTTTGGAACACTTGCTTGCTTAAACAATATTTTTAACAAGGTTGGTTTTGTCTGTTACATATCATAAGCACTACCAGCTCGTTCCAAGTCAGTATTGAATTTATCTTATGGTCCTAACATACTACTCATAAGTTAAAGATGTAACATTTGCAAATGCATTTTGTGAAATTTGCAAAACACTCAAAAGAACTACATGTTTATTCTTTATTTTTGGTACATTAGCAAACATAACCAGGAAAATTTGATGCATGACGCTAACCAATTATTTTTGATGATTTATCGGTTGTAATTACGATCCCAGAATCACCATCTACTTGTCATTCCTAAAGTTCGACTCTCATCCTATGGGAAAAGATCATTCCAACAACTTGCAGCCGCCAGTCTCTGGAACAACTTGCCCACTCACATCAAAGAATGCTGAATCTTTGGACACATTTAAATCGTCTCTACAAACCCACTTTTTCATCTTGCCTATTACTAGACTTTCTATGTTCAATTGTCTCTCTGTAAATAGTTTTAACTATTTTCTTTCTCCTATAGTATTGTAGCGCCACGAGCGGGTATTAGTACCTGGATGTAGCGCTATATAAATACCCACATTATTATTATTATTATTATTAATGAACCAATGATCAATTATGAGATTTTAACCAATTCCCAACACTACCTGCGACAGTGGCAAACATCATCAGTGACTTCCCCTTCTTGGTCTGCTGCATCAACTTTTCAGGGTTGCTCATGTCCAGCTTCGACATGTCGATGCCTTTCTGTTTCCTCTTCCACTCTGGCAACTCGTCCTCTGGTAGAGGCTCCTCATCCTCCTGGTCAACAAGAGTGAGTATGTGAGTTTAGTGTTTACACCGCTTTTAGCAATATTCCAGCAATATCACGGTGGGGGACATTGTGCCCATGTGGGAAATCATACCTGGGTCTTCAGCCTGACGAGCAAATACCTTAACCACTGGTCATGGGGTATTCTGGGAGGATAAGGAGTAAGTGAATAAGCAGGGCTCGATTTAAGAGATGTTAACCTACTTGCACCGGGTGCAATCTAAGATAATAACCTAGTTGGACCAACCAATTCCAGTTGCACCAACCAATTCCAGTTGCAGTGCTTTTATTGCAATATGTAGATGCAATTATTTAGATGTTTTATTCAGAAGTTTACCCACTCAAAAATTGACTTGAACCTAGTGCAAGTTCGACTAATAACTAGGTTGCACTTTGTAATATTGGGTTTTCACCAGTGCAAATAACAAGGCACTAAATCGAGCCCTGATATGGTTTTAAACTGTTTTTAATAATATTCAAGCAAAGCAACAGACCAATGTGGGAATTCAAACCCAGGTATTCGGAGTGACAAGTGTATGCTTTAACCAATAGGCTACCCCACCATATGTATAACCAGATACAAAATACTTCCCGATGTTGCACATCTTTACATTAGCCAGTGCAGCAGAGTACATGTACTGACTGAGTTTGGTTTTATGCTGCTTTTAGCAATATTCCAGCAACATCACGGCGGGGGACACCAGAAATGGGCTTCACACATTGTACCCATGTGGGGATTCGAACCCGGGTCTTCGACGTGACGAGTCAACGCTTTAACCATTAGGCTGCCACACCGCTCCAGAGTACATGTAAAAACTTGTGCATGAATGCCAAAACTGTATGATCCATTCATTCATTCATTCATTCAGTTTTCTGTTCCACTGCTTTCAGCAATATTCCAGCAATATGAAATTGATATACTTTTGTTTCTGTGAAATGAACTGCTTTGATCTGTTGTAAAAGATATTTCTTGTCTGCCACTGAACAGGGCTAAATCTCCCAGAAACATAACTGAGGGGGACAAAGTACACAATTTATTTGCAACCTGTAACTGATCTTAAACATAGAATCCAAATATCCAAGTCTGGTAACTATGGCAACATATTAGAATATTAAGAAATTGTGATTCATCAGTGAGTGAGTGAGTGAGTGAGTGAGTGAATGAGTTTAGTCTTACACCACACTCAGCAATATTCCAGCTATATGGCGGCGGTCTGTAAATAATCGAGTCTGGACAAGACAATCCAGTGATTAACAGCATGAGCATCGATCTACACAATTGGGAACCGATGACATGTGTCAGCCAAGTCAGCGAGCCTGACCACCGGATCCCGTTAGTCGCCTCTTACGACAAGCATGGGTTACTGAAGATCAATTCTAACCCGGTGTAACAGGCCAGAGTATACCCCTGTCTATACCCGGGGTTAAACTGGGCTAGCCCAGACTTCACGGGCCTTTGGTATCATAAGAATAGGACACAAATGGCTGTGGAAAATCAATGACTCTGATACACAGACAGTCTGATATGTCACAAGTTGACAGAAACAGTTTCAACCTTGACATTTCCACTTCCACCACCAGATTTGGCTCTTATTATAAAATATTTATAATCCTGAATTGATTTTTGACTGGCAGCATCAAAGCCCCGTGCTACGGGGAAAGATACAGCTTTGTTCATCTCACCGCAGTTCAGAATAGAACAATGTGTCTCTAATACATATGAAGCAATTATGAGTCTGACGTAATCACATTAATCATAGTTCAACACAAGAGAGTGTTTTATGGTCCTTCAGCTTTGGGTTTCAGATCCCTAATCTATGTGATATTTAGATTTACGCCACTTTTAGCAATATTCCAGCAATATCATGGTGGGGGACACCAGAAATGGACTTTACACATTGTACCCATGTGAGGAATCGAACTTGGGTCTTCAGCGTGATGAACGAATGCTTTAACCATGAGGCTACCCCACCGCTCCCTTAATCTAGGGATACCCTGAATCTTAACTCTCCAAATCAAAGATACCATGTATGCAACAAAGCGAATGAGTTTAGTTTTACTCAGCATTATTCCAGCAATATGGTGGCGGTCTGTAAATACTCGAGTCTGGACTAGACAATCCAGTGATCAACAGCATGACCATCGATCTACACAATTGGGAACCTATGGCATGTGTCAACCAAGCCAGCAAGCCTGACCACCCGATCCCGTTAGTCGCCTCTTGCGACAAAGACTCATTGACTGTTACTTTAAAATACTGATCACTGTAAAATTTTGCAACAGTCAGACTTGATATGTTTTGCTTACTTATTGCCAGCAACATTCATTTCATGATAACCATGATATCAAAGGACCTTAATTTCAGAATATCTCTGAAATATTTTGTTCATTTTAGTTGCCTGACATACAAAATCCCATAAGAATACAGTTTTGCTAAAAGAAAAAAAGTGTCAACTGTTCCATAATTTCTGTATAATGATTAGAGGTTGCAACAATACAGAAATCTCGCAAATGATATGTATCCATTTATATCTTGGAGCGATACAATTTGATTCGATGCATATCATGATATCCTATCTTTAGTTTTTTCTTTACAAAAGTATTTTATAATCTAATTGTGATAATGATTTTTGTACAACTTTCCTGCAAAACTGACTTTATGGACTTATTTGGGGGCATGGAAGGCCCAGTCATATCTTTACAAAGTTATGTCCCTTAGGTGTGTCGGGAGATTATGATTGTTTAGGGCTCGATTTAGTGTTATTTGCACTGGTGAAACCCAATATTACAAAGTGCAACCTAGTTATTAATCTAACTTCCACCAGGTGCAAGTCAATTTTTGAGTTGGTAAACTTCTGAATAAAACATCTAAATAATTGCACCTACATATTGCAATAAATGCAGTGCAACTGGATTTGGTTGGTCCAACGAGGTTTTATCTTAGATTGCACCGGTGCAAGTGGGTTAACATCTCTTAAATCCCGAGCCCTATCGTTGAGTTTAAATCCCAGATTTGCTGTGCTGATATTTCTTGTATGTCAGCACCATTGAGATTTCTCCAAAGTGGTATTGGTATTCATTACTCACCGTTGAAGAATACCACTGTTTAATAATTTTACAATGTTATTACTGGTTTACAGTTATGATGTCACAATGCTAATGCCTCTGTCACAATAGTATTAGAGCCTTGCTTGACTCGCTGAGCTGAAAGTCATCACACTCGTTGACCCTGTCTGGCGCTGAGGCATTAATGGGTACAACAAGGACTGGTCGGCTCGGAGTCAGTATAATGTGTCTGAGTGGGGTATTCATGCTTCACTTTCGGCATGGTATCTCAGTGGGGTAGCACTATAAAACCAGCTTTAGTCTGGGCTAGTACAAGCAGCTGCACATACACATACACATGCATGCATGCATAGTCATATGGCCGAAATATTCTCCAGCACTCGACGTTAAACCCAATTTAATTTAATTGCGTCCATTGTCAATTTTTATATCATTATAGGATGCAGGAATTTAATGTCCTGTAAATCCCTGCATACCCTCAGAGTGAGGCTGCCTATCATCTGGAAGCACCTAAACCAATCAGCCACTGATGCTTCCACAAATCTGTACGTCTAAGGTAGTCCTGATTTAGAAATTAAAACAATTCCCAATCTGTCACATTCATATAAATAATATCGCAAAATCAAACTAACGTTAGAAGTTTTAAAGGTTAGATATTTTACATTTTTTTTTAGGCTTTTATTCTTTTATTGAATGCAATATAAAAACAAAATGATACAAAACCTCTTATCTAAGAAAATGGGATCTTTACTTTTGACATATTTTCCCAGCTCAATTACAGATTTAGAGATATTGTAATTCTTTTTTAGGTTTTTATTATTTCATTGACTACAACATAAAAACAACACCTCTTATTTAAAGAAACTGGGATCTATATTTTTTGACACATTTCCCAAGTTTCCAGATTTCTAGATATTTTAATTTTTTATATTTTTTATTTTTATTTTGTTGAATGCAATATTAAAACAAAATGATACAACACCTCTTTTTTAAAGAAAATAAGATCATTATTATTGATGCATTTCAATAAATGTCCTCTAAAATGACACTTAAGTTTCAAATTCGAATAAATATTGACATAGTCTCTCAAGCTTATCTGAAACTGTTCAACTTAAACAGATTGCCTTACTTCTTCAGGTGTAATCTGAGACCATAACATAAACTGATATTAAAAATTCAGTGGACTAAATTTCCAGCGAATCAGAGACCAACACGAAACATCATTAAGCATTTAGTGTCTCATCTCAGATCAGCCATATCCATATCTCAAATAGTTCTTTGTGAAAAAAGCTGCAGCTTATATATCCAATTTCAGATATAGCACCCTTTGAATGAATTATTTCATGAGCACTGCAACATATGTAACACATTAGAAATATAGCAAGAAATGAATAGATAAATTTCCTGGATATTTTTGGTTGAAAACATTCAGTAACCTTGATACAGTTGTGTTATATATGTTATCTATATGTTATATAAAACTGTTATATATTTGACTCACTGACCAATCAAAGATAAAACTACCAATGAAATTGAGTCCACATTATAGTTTTATGCATTTGATATACATAATTTTTTTATTATCTATATGGTGAAACATAACCAGTGTCATAAATATCATATGTGCATATGTGCACATATTACTTTTGCCAAGCAACCATTGTTTCTGAGTTCATTAAACAATTGAACCTGACGTCTATGAACTGGGCAGTCACACTTGCTTACCGTGTTGTACTGCAAAATGCACATGAATAAAATGAATAATAAAGAAATTATTACACGAGCAAGTGTGTCATACGACTTATAAGAAACGAGTGCGAAATTTTGTATTGCCCGATTGAGAATCAAAGTTCAGAAATGAGATTATACTTGACATATAGATAGCTACTCATATTTGTAAAGTGTTTGTTGTTGTTCTTGATAATGTTCACAGTGTTTGAAATTTAGGGGTTTATGGGGTTCTTGAAATTTGCTCCTACATATTAATCTATGGATCTCTTAAATCTTTAATGCTTAACAAGTATAACAGACAATAATAAGGACTTTTTGTTGTGAAACTTACATTGAGCTATATTTAATTTCAACAGTGAAAAGATTAGTATTTCAAATGATAAAGCGAATAAGTCAAGGATCAAAATAAACATGTGATTTAAACAAAAAAGATAGCAAATCCTAACAAATTAAGGGAGGCAACTCTGCAAAATGGATCTTGGCATTTTGTAATAGGGGCAACTTCTACAAAACTGTAACTTGACCGAATGTATCCAAGCAAACTCAATACGTTTTGTTCATGACCATACTTTAAACATTGTGGAGCTGTAACATGACCAAATATATCCAAGCAAATTCATTACGTTTTGTTCATGACCATACTTTAAACATTGTGGAGCTGTAACATGACCAAATATATCCAAGCAAATTCATTACGTTTTGTTCATGACCATACTTTAAACATTGTGGAGCTGTAACATGACCAAATATATCCAAGCAAATTCATTACGTTTTGTTCATGACCATACTTTAAACATTGTGTAGCTGTAACATGACCAAATATATCCAAGCAAATTCATTACGTTTTGTTCATGACCATACTTTAAACATTGTGGAGCTGTAACATGACCAAATATATCCAAGCAAATTCATTACGTTTTGTTCATGACCATACTTTAAACATTGTGGAGCTGTAACATGACCAAATATATCCAAGCAAATTCATTACGTTTTGTTCATGACCATACTTTAAACATTGTGGAGCTGTAACATGACCGAATATATCCAAGCAAAATTCATTACGTTTTGTTCATGACCATACTTTAAACATTGTGGAGCTGTAACATGACCGAATATATCCAAGCAAATTCATTACGTTTTGTTCATGACCATACTTTAAACATTGTGGAGCTGTAACATGACCGAATGTATCCAAGCAAATTCATTACGTTTTGTTCATGACCATACTTTAAACATTGTGGAGCTGTAACATGACCGAATATATCCAAGCAAACTCAATACGTTTTGTTCATGACCATACTTTAAACATTGTGGAGCTGTAACATGACCGAATGTATCCAAGCAAATTCATTACGTTTTGTTCATGACCATACTTTAAACATTGTGGAGCTGTAACATGACCGAATATATCCAAGCAAATTCATTACGTTTTGTTCATGACCATACTTTAAACATTGTGGAGCTGTAACATGACCGAATATATCCAAGCAAATTCATTACGTTTTGTTCATGACCATACTTTAAACATTGTGGAGCTGTAACATGACCGAATGTATCCAAGCAAATTCATTACGTTTTGTTCATGACCATACTTTAAACATTGTGGAGCTGTAACATGACCGAATATATCCAAGCAAATTCATTACGTTTTTGTTCATGACCATACTTTAAACATTGTGGAGCTGTAACATGACCGAATATATCCAAGCAAATTCATTACGTTTTGTTCATGACCATACTTTAAACATTGTGGAGCTGTAACATGACCGAATATATCCAAGCAAACTCAATACGTTTTGTTCATGACCATACTTTAAACATTGTGGAGCTGTAACATGACCAAATATATCCAAGCAAATTCATTACGTTTTGTTCATGACCATACTTTAAACATTGTGGAGCTGTAACATGACCGAATATATCCAAGCAAATTCATTACGTTTTCGTTCATGACCATACTTTAAACATTGTGGAGCTGTAACATGACCGAATATATCCAAGCAAACTCAATACGTTTTGTTCATGACCATACTTTAAACATTGTGGAGCTGTAACATGACCAAATATATCCAAGCAAATTCATTCGTTTTGTTCATGACCATACTTTAAACATTGTGGAGCTGTAACATGACCGAATATATCCAAGCAAATTCATTACGTTTTGTTCATGACCATACTTTAAACATTGTGGAGCTGTAACATGACCGAATATATCCAAGCAAACTCAATACGTTTTGTTCATGACCATACTTTAAACATTGTGGAGCTGTAACATGACCAAATATATCCAAGCAAATTCATTACGTTTCGTTCATGACCATACTTTAAACATTGTGGAGCTGTAACATGACCGAATATATCCAAGCAAATTCATTACGTTTTGTTCATGACCATACTTTAAACATTGTGGAGCTGTAACATGACCGAATATATCCAAACAAATTCATTACGTTTAAGTTCATGACCATACTTTAAACATTGTGGAGCTGTAACATGACCAAATATATCCAAGCAAATTCATTACGTTTTGTTCATGACCATACTTTAAACATTGTGGAGCTGTAACATGACCGAATATATCCAAGCAAATTCATTACGTTTTGTTCATGACCATACTTTAAACATTGTGGAGCTGTAACATGACCAAATATATCCAAGCAAATTCATTACGTTTTGTTCATGACCATACTTTAAACATTGTGGAGCTGTAACATGACCCGAATATATCAAAAGCAAATTCATTACGTTTTGTTCATGACCATACTTTAAACATTGTGGAGCTGTAACATGACCCGAATATATCCAAGCAAATTCATTACGTTTTGTTCATGACCATACTTTAAACATTGTGGAGCTGTAACATGACCCGAGAATATATCCAAGCAAATTCATTACGTTTTGTTCATGACCATACTTTAAACATTGTGGAGCTGTAACATGACCCGAATATATCCAAGCAAATTCATTACGTTTTGTTCATGACCATACTTTAAACATTGTGGAGCTGTAACATGACCAAATATATCCAAGCAAATTCATTACGTTTTTGTTCATGACCATACTTTAAACATTGTGGAGCTGTAACATGACCCGAATGTATCCAAGCAAATTCATTACGTTTTGTTCATGACCATACTTTAAACATTGTGGAGCTGTAACATGACCGAATATATCCAAGCAAACTCAATACGTTTTGTTCATGACCATACTTTAAACATTGTGGAGCTGTAACATGACCAAATATATCCAAGCAAATTCATTACGTTTTGTTCATGACCATACTTTAAACATTGTGGAGCTGTAACATGACCGAATATATCCAAGCAAATTCATTACGTTTCGTTCATGACCATACTTTAAACATAGTGGAGCTGTAACATGACCGAATATATCCAAGCAAATTCATTACGTTTCGTTCATGACCATACTTTAAACATAGTGGAGCTGTAACATGACCGAATATATCCAAGCAAATTCATTACGTTTTGTTCATGACCATACTTTAAACATTGTGGAGCTGTAACATGACCGAATATATCCAAGCAAATTCATTACGTTTTGTTCATGACCATACTTTAAACATAGTGGGACTTTACCCTCCTGTGCATCCTGGTGTGTGTGTAGTTGGCAGGTGATCAGGGACATTCAGTCAAATTGAACCATTTAGCCACAATCAATCAGTAGCTCAGTGTATATTGATTCCTCATCTTCTTGGACACACAGGGTGCACTGCGTGTGAAATAGTTTCCAAATTTTGATAGCCTGTCAGGCTAGCTATGCCTGAAAGTTACTAGTCCACAAAGTAATTCACTAGTAGACCCGGGTCATCATTAGCTGCTAATAAGATGAACATTTTTATCAAGCTATAATCTTGCATGATTTAAAATTGTATTATAACATAACAAGTCGGAGAGAGTGATATATATTTTACAAAATGACCCCATGAAAATTCACTAGCCAGTCGGGCCCGTGACTCTTGAGATTTACTGGTACAACTGGATTTTTACTAGCCACGGGCTAGTGGGCCAGTGGCTATTACGCACACTGAGGAGTGCATTTGTGTATGACAAACTAAAAGCACGTACACCATGATGCCCCACCCTCCCACAATTTATGCGAACATCAAACATTCTTTGTTAGGTAGTTGTAAACACATGACACTATATGCTGTGCGATTGGATAAATTGAATAAATGTCATATGAAACATAAACGACCGTTTCCTGAATATAATTGTTCGTGAACTACCCATGGCTGCGCCTGACGCTTCCCACGCCCTCCCCTGTATTCCCTTTAAATGTATCGGCCCACATCTGTCTTGCAAATACATACGCTTTTAGGTTCGTTTCATAAAATGTCACACATACAAATCGGGGAAATGAATGCTTTACCTCCATTGATCATAGAGTCTTTCCAAGTCCGCTTCATCATAGTCTCGGATATTTTTCTTCTTAAACTTGTCTTTTTCTTTTTCGCTCTACCTCCTCCTCGTCGTCTTCTACTTTCCCATCTTCCTCGTCATCGTCTTCATCTTCGTCAACGGTCTTTTTGCTGCAGAAAGCAACAGCAAAGAAGCAGAGACATCAGCAGATATACGCGCCACGCTTTCATCTTGACTATATACAGCGTACACTTCACTCGTTCAAATCAACTTTATTTTAGTTATCTTTTCGTGTTGAAATGCGATTGGATTTTGAGACTTCCCGAACAGGAAGTTGGTTAATAAGAGCAAATGTAAAACTAAAACGGAATATGATTTTTTGTTTGGGACATTTTAAATATAATAGCTATTACAAATGACAAAATGTCAAATGAAATTAATCAGTATTGTTAAATAATGTATGTCTCTTGGAATATTAGCCAAACTATGATTACAGAGTCAAAGAATGTGCACCGTTTTCATCTTACGTTACGGCTTGATTTTTACTATTTCTAAAAATAGTATCATCCATGGCGGAAGCGAGAGATGTAAGTCGATGTTTTGATTCTGAAATATCGTAGAATGTTGACATGTTGGGGCTTTTATCAACATTTTATTGTGTCGTTGTTTAGATGAAATGCAGTAATGATAAGCATGTTTATTGTCAATGCCTTTAACTCCAGTTTGCGTTCAGTGGTTAACATGTTAAAGGAAATGGTTTGACAGTCACTGACATCAGTAGACTAAGTCACGATTGCGTTGGGTCATATGGGTTTGACAACAATTGTGTCACCGCTTCTGTGGCAATTGGCGATATTGTTAAATAATTTTTAGGGTCTGCGAAAATACTGTCTATCAGAAATTGCAAGTGTTAATCGTACAGAAAGGATATTGATAAAGTTTAGCTTTGCTGGAAATATCAGGAGATTTACAGGTGTGACAACCTTGTGCTTGCATAATAGGTTTGATACAAATTCTGATGTAGAATTAGACACAAGAGCTGCACTTTTGGGGATTTCAATCATAATGGTAAGCGTCACAGTTAGAGGTGTTGAATATGTTATCTGTTATTAACTTGGCTTAATTATCAAATTAGCACATCAGATGTCATTGGTATCTGTGATTCATAAAACCATCAACACCATTCTAATACATCACCATGCTCTCTTATACGCATACAAGGCGGCGGGGTAGCCTAGTGGTTAAAGCGTTCGCTCGTCACACCGAAGACACAGGTTCGATTTCCCTCTTGGGTACAAATACTACAATGTGTGAAGCCCATTTCTGGTGTCCCCTGCCGTGATATTGCTGAAATATATAATAAAGGTGGCGTAAAACCCTACTCACTCACTCATATACACATACACACAAATACGATTATACAAAGTTTTCATTGCTTCAGCAATATTCCAACAATAAACATGATAAATGACTCATGGGCTAAGTCAAGTGTCTTCAAAAGTTCTTGAGTTTGCAACTCTGGTATCATGAATAGTATTTTATTAAATGCATATGTAACTGTTATGTTTTTCAAAATAATGCATGATAACATCAGTCAATACATTGCCAAATTTCACCAAGTGTATGAGTGGGAGCGTCTACCTTCAAACATTCACATTTAGATATTTATCATTCGTTTCCATACGTCATGTCTGTGAAATATTCAATTGCATTTTTAGAAAATTGACTACCCATTTGTTTCTGACATGCAGGTAAACAGTTTTCCATTTTATAAGATCACTGTATATATCATGATATGTTATCATCCAAGAAGCCTCTTTTACAATTCAGATACTAGAAAAGATTCACAAACAGTAATGCTTCATTCCCGGTTTGAGTTGTAACCAGTAACCATGACATATGATGATCTTCATTGGTGCTACATTTTAGAATGAACAAAGTAGTGATCTGTGGATTTCAACATTTTAAATTGAATATGTAAAGCGGGTCATTGTGACGTGAAACTAACGTATATCACAAGTTGTATCATGTTGTATACTCCCCAGGGAGTTGAGATTGATAATACAATATGCCGTTTGAGATTGACATCCAATGATCGAGGTAAAAACAACTTGTGAAGAGCCTTAGAGTGATCTAGAAGTACTTCAAATAGGGCACTATAGCAATGTGGCAGATAATGATAATGGGAATGTACCAATAAATCTGTTTGAAATACCACTGAGCATTATTTAGAGCCTGGAAAAGTGTAATCATTAAATGGAGAGGACGATAGATTTTGTGGTTCATGATTTCTATACATGTACATGCTGCTGAGACGTTGCTGGAATATTGCAAGCCAACAGAGAAAACTGCTCATTCCTCTTGAGACCAGGAGTTTGTATGATAAACTTGTATGAAATATCCAGCTTTGTTGCCTGTTTCAGATTACATGTTGAAGACGTTGCTGATCAAACAACGCAACCACCATGCCGGGGAAAAGCCCCAAGAAGAAGGACCTGTACCTGGGTAAAAACATGGCTGACCTCAACAAGCTGGGGGAGTGCAAAGACCTGGGGAATAATGTCACAATGTAAGTGGAGAATGTCAACCACCCTATTATCTCAGTATTCAGAGTCATGAGCTGATTCAACATTCGGCAGTGGCTCCTCACACTGTTGGACCGTTCCTCTTTAGTTGAGGACACCCCAGGAACTACCTCTGAAGATCCAAGTTACTGTATACGTATTATATTTCGCGCAGGTTTTATTTTCGCGCTTTTCGTGCAAAACATTTTAGCGCGAAAATTTATACACCGCGAATAAACCTGTCATTCATTCAGTCTAGCCACGCTCGCCCCTGAGTTGTTACCATAACACATCACGTTTGAAGACAGAAATCAACGGGAATCTTAAAATGACGACTGATCATACAATGGATTTCCCAAAACATAATTAAATAATGAGCCAAATCCCATCGCCGAATTAGCGAAAACAGCAGTGTGTGTTGTGGCCGCCATGGAAATTGGTCACATGACAGATGGTTTGATACAAAACAGATTACCGTGAAACGACTCGGAAAGAAATAATACAGCAGTATTTTATTTATTCATTAAGATTTTATTCACCAGTACATCATGAAGCGAATAGTCACTAACACTCAATCATCTCATTCACAACAACCCGGCTTGTTTGAAATCACAAAGAGCTTCATATACAGTATAAGTTTATTCGTCAAATCGTCAGAATTCGGAACATAACTTCCGGGAGTAAACGGATTACTGTGTACTAGTATATCGCACAGATAGGGATTTCCTGTGAGTAAGCAATAAACGCCGCCTGACAGGTTCAGCCACTCTGTTTGTTTTCACTGCTATTAGTGGCGGCCAAAGAGACAGCTGGCAGTTCCGGCAATTACTGATTGCGCGAATAATTGACCGCGCGATGTAGTCTAAACTGTCAATTCCGCGAAAATTGCACCACGCGAAAATAAGTACGTTTACAGTAGTACTGATCTTAAGCAACTCATGCTTGCCGTAAGAGGCGACTAACAGGGTCAGGTGGTCACATTCGCTGATTTGGTTGGCACATCTCATGGTTTCCCAATTGCGTAGATCAATGCTTTTGATGATGATCACTGGATTGTCTGGTCCAGACTTGATTATTTTATACTGCGACATGTCTATAGCTGGAATATTGCTGAGTGTGGTGTTAATCAAACAACAAACTCCAGGAACTTGACTGCTTTAAATCCAGTGTTAAGACTCATTTGTTTAGAAAAACATTCGTTAATGGACACCTAATGTTTCTGTTTGCCAAACTCTTCAGTGCTTTAGCACAGTTTCCTAGTCAACTGGATATTATCCCCATGAAAATCTCTCTCTAAAAATATTCACTAGAAATACCTCCAAGAGCAGAATCTTTTGTGATATCAAAGCATATTTTTACGAATCTGTCAAGTAGTGATCACATGATGATGCCAAGTGTTTGTGAAAAGATGAGCATATTCTTCCTCAACCTTAATAAACGCATGCAAAGACATGTCAATGGTTCATCAGAACGATTTCTTTATTATTCAATCCATACTCAGCAATATTCCAGCTATATGGCGGTCTGTAAATAATCAAGTCTAGACCAGACAATCCTGTGATTAACACCATGAGCATCGTTTTACGCAACTGGGATATGATGACATTTGGCAACCAAGTCAGTCACCAGAAAGAAACACGGAAACGTATGGTACAAGTCACGACAAGGAATTGCATCGGACATTATAGTCTGAAAGATAATGTCACTGTGTATGTTAAGTAGATTGATGTTCATGATGTCTGTCACTGGATTTTACAATTTACTTTTCAATTTTTGACTGACGGGGTAGCCTACTGGTTAAAGCGTTCGCTCCTTGCGCCAAAGACCCAGGTTCAATTCCCCACATGGGTGCAATGTGTGAAGCCAATTTCTGGTGTTCCCGCCCTGATATTGCCGGAATAAAACTAAACTCACTCACTCTTGTCCTCACTTGATTATTTCAAAAAATAACTGAGACTTTGATTTTGAAGTATTTATCAAACTGAATCTGTGACGACTATTTCCAGCATCATAAGATCTGCAGACAAGACATTTCGTGAAGCTGTGCACCAAGATGAACTTTCGGACGAGGAGCGAGCTTATGTCCTGTACATGCGGTACTTCAACGTCATACAGACGGCCAAGCGAAAGGCTGAATATATCAAGCAGAAGGTAAATAGTGACAGCATAATGTAAATTGAAAAGCAGAGGTGAATCAGTGTGTCAGAGAAGTGGCATTAGATGATATATGCCAATAGACTCACAAACATCCAGAATGTAATCCCTGTCTTGAGTGAGTGAGTGATTCTAGTGCAGTTCAGGAACTTATTTCAGTCGACTTGTTTATGTGAAATGATGATGACAAGAGTAGTCCCTCTGTATTTTCACTTGCCTCGGCCTAGTGACTGTGTCTAATTCTAATGAGTGTTTCTTCTTCAGGAGTACTTTGACAACCTCATTGGGAAGAAGAACCAGCTTCATGCTATAGAGAGAGCAGAGGGCTTGTCCCAGAACCTTAAAGAAAGGTAAAACTTAAAAATGAACACACATGTGCAGGTGTGAATGCAGGTGTGTTATGTAACCATAGCTAGAACAGTCATGTATTTGGAGACTGTGATGTAAGCCCAGGGTTTGCACGGGCGAATTCGTTTAAACCTTGTTATTTGCCAGTGATTTGCCCTGAGAAGGCCCTAAATTAAGCCGAACTTGTCAAGTTACAGGAAACTAATGTATCAAAAATATGTTCCAATGACAATGCGTGTTATTTAATCTCCATCACGAACCAAAACTTTCCCCGCGCCAAGAGTGATGGTGAGGATATAGTTTAAGAGTGGCTTGGACCAGAAGATGGGTCAATGCCATGATGTATCTGGAAGTTGATGTTTGATGATTGGCCCCACATTAAAAAAAACACGAATCCAACTACTTATATGTTTATTATGCGTTTCTACAGGGCCTTAAAATTGTTATTTTTCCTTATCCTGACTCATGCTAAATGCTTGTCTCCTTCTTGCGAATGATAGTGGAACACTTGAAATCCCTTGAAGTTCCCTTCTAATAAAAGTGGACGTAAAATCACCACTCACCCACGAGTTGCCTCCCTTGCACCTTTTGGCGCCCTTTTCAGTCACCTGACTGGCCATGCTTGTCACTCTGTCCTTCTTCACCCTTAAGGACGGTTGTGAGAGCACCTGGGTCCCTATACAGCACATATCCTTTTCTCTTTGGACCTATTACATCCTAAATTCAGCTGTATTCTGTTTTGGATTAGTATACTAATAATATGGTTTGGAATTTGTCTAAAATTTACGTTGATTGTACTTGATTTTCATCGTGTTTACATTTGATGAAAACTTCAAGTATAAAATATCAATATTAATCAGTAAATTACATATTTTTCCTTATCCTGACTCATGCTAAATGCTTGCAGAATCCGTCGGAAACGGTGGTGGGTCAGGCCACTTCCTGGATTCACTGGCTGTTGATTTACATCCTGTATTACCCCCCATGGGAACTTATGACAGTACTGCTGATGACTGTTCTTCCAACTTCCATCTGATGAGTCTGGGGGGGACCACAACTTGTCAGATTTCCTCCAAACTTCTGACATTTTCATTGGGACTTGAAAAGACCTTAAATGGGCCTAAAATATGATGGCTGATAATCTGTATGAACCCTGTGTGTGTTCCAGATATGACCTCATAGAAGCCGAGGCAGTGGCGAAGAAGCTGGAAGCTCTCGATGAGAAGAAGAAAGAGGACAAAAAGGAGGAGAAGAAAGATGTTGAGAAGGACGCAGCTGAGGAGAAGGGAAATGACAAAGAAAATGGCTCATCTACAGGTACAGGCTTTCAAGTTGTCTTGCTTTCAGTACCAACACTTTTAGGATCAAACCCGCGGAGATTCTAGATTAGAATAGGCCCCCTGCAAGCTGTGCATGAATATTGCTTAAAGCGGCGTAAAACCATACTCACTCACTAGTATGATGATTAGTCTACTTAACTGTCCAGTCAATAACATGGATGGAAACATAGGTGGATCCAGATCCCCCTTTTGTCCTGAAAGTTTATTAAATGACCATGGAAAATGGGTGAAAATGGGTGAAAACAAACACACACCACCAAATCACCCCCCATTCTGAACTGAGCACCCCTCCTTTCTCAAAAAGCTGTATCCGCCCCTGGTATACGATGACATGTGTCAACCAAATCAGCGAGCTGGAACATCCATCCATAGTCAGGTCCAGAGCATGGATGCAGGGGTGCCCCCCACCTCTGCCCTTTTTGTCCTGAAAGATTATTAAATGACCTTTGAAAATGAAGTGTGCACCCTCCCTTTCTCTAGAGTGTGCACACAGCAGTGTTCGAAATACCTGCCTGCCCAACCGCCCGGGACAGGTTATTTTCAACATTGACTGCTAGATTCTCAAATCCACCTGCCTGACGGCCGGGTTAAAATTTAGACAGGTATATAAAGATTTTCAGGATAATAAATCATTATTAATTCACTCGTAAATTTAGAGTAAATAAGTAAATTAGTATTTTTTGTGGGCAGGTAAATTTTGGTCGGGGCTGGCAAGTTTTACATCTAACCAGCCTTGTGGTCTGGCTGAAAATGTTGGGTGTTCATACCCTGGCACATACCCTTTGTCAAAAAGCTGTATCGGCCCCTGTCCCATGTTAATGTAGGATGGCATAACAGGGATTTACCTTGAGTCCTGTATTTGAGGGTCCCTGGCACCCATACTCTTAATTTTCAGGGGTCCTGGACAACACAATGGGGGTCCCACACACTTAAATATTTTTATTAATACTGTTATTTAGGAGATAAACATCATGTGTTGGCCAATTTCCGGGTGTTATTGAGTATTTGAAGCACGGGAATTCATTTGGAACCGACGGCATCAGCCGGAGGTTTCAAATGGAATATTCCTATTAGCTTCAAATACTCAATAACACCTCGAAGTTCAACTATTGATGTTTATCGACATTAATAACTTCAAAGTAAACCAAAGGTCCACACACATATTTGTGTCTGCACTCATTGACATAGAGTACGGGTACAGCAGTGCAATGTCATCAGCCGGCCGTTTCGGCTGTCTCTCATGGTAGCATCTGGAACTGCTCATTGGTGACGTCATTCGGACTTTACGTCACAATATGATTTGAATGACGTCATCACAGCTGACGACGTAACAATACAATGGTGTGAGCGATGTTTGTATGTATTAATACGCAGCGAATTTCCGGGAATCGAATACCATTTGATCACGTTTTTCAACCAATCAGATTAAAGAACACAGTGACTTTTGGTTTACAATGTATTGTGTATACATCATGATCATCACATTAATTGTTACAGTAACTAAATTGCAAATAATACCATAACCCAGCTAGTAGCAAACTCAGTTATAACTTATTGTTACTTGATTGCAACTTTTACAAAAGGTATTTTGACTTTTTCTGAGTCCCTCTGGATGCACTTATAAAGTTTGTTGCGTCCATTGTCAATTTGTATGCGTATAGGACGCATTAGGAATTCAAGTCCTGTAAATCCCTGACATAATGATGTATTGTCTGTGACTGCAGTGCCACCAGTGACGGCTCCAGGCAGCATCTCACCGATGGAGCTGTTTACACTGCTCAACGATCGGGAAACTCAGCTCATACTGATGGACGTCCGTCCGGAAGAGGACTACGCCGACTCCCACATCAGCCACAAGTCCTGTGTCAATGTTCCTGCCAGCATACTACAACCTGGGTAGGTGGTCTTTAATGTAGATATTGTAGCTATTGACTGCAGAGACTAATTTGTCCGGAGACTAATTTGTGCTGAGGACAGTTAGTAGTGAGTACCATGGTTTTACTCCGCTTTCAGCAATATTCCAGCAATATCACAGCAATGGTCTTCACACATTGTACTCATGTGAGGAATCGAACCCAAGTCTTCGGTGTGACGAGCTGACACTTTCACCAATAGGCTACCCCACCACCCTTGAGGACAAGTAAAACTCCAGTGATGTTAGCTCTCATTGTCTGATATCGTTTGAGGGTTATAATTCTGGACCTGTTCTTGATGCTGAGATTGTGAAGTTCTTGAAAGGCACCTGATGAACATTCACCTGATATACAGCATTAAACTTGATTCTCTCATCTGTCGACAGAACCACCGTCAACTACATCAGTAATGCATTGCCAGAAGCATCCAGGTCGCTATGGAAACAACGCGGTCAGGTCGATCATGTTATTCTATTAGACTGGCGGTCTACGTCACAAGAGGTCAAGATTGGATCAACTCTGAGAACACTAAAGGATGCCTTATTCAAGGTAGGTGGGAGCACATCTAGACAGACCTTAATGACAATGTCATCGTATCCCAATTGCTTAGATCGATGCTCATGCTGTTGATCACTGGATTGTCTGGTCCAGACTCGATCATGTACAGACCGCCACCATATAGCTGGAATATTGGTGGGAGCACATCTAGACAGTCCTTAATGACAATGTCATGGTATCCCAATTGCTTAGATCGATGCTCATGCTTTTGATCACTGGATTGTCTGGTCCAGACTCGATCATGTACAGACCGCCACCATATAGCTGGAATATTGCTAAGTGTGGCATTAAACAACAAACCTAACCAAACTGTAATGACAAGAACATCAGATCTAGAAATAAAAAAGGCAATACATCGCCTACAATGCTGTTTATAGCCTAATAGCAGTGCTGTAAGGGTCCACCTTAAACTAACACAAGATATTCCATTTTGTGTAGAAATGATTTGAATTCATGAACGGAAATGGTTAGATTTACCGAAATGTAACGGGAAAAGCCAATACAGTTCTTCATATGTACCATGTGAAATTTTACTACATGTAGTATTAGTTAACAGAGAGTGAGTGAGTATGGTTTGACACCTCTTTTAGCAATATTCTAGCAATATCATGGCGGGGGACACCAGAAATGGGCTTCACACATTGTACCCATGTGGGGAATCAAACACGGGCCTTCGGCATAATGAGCAAACGCTTTAACCACTAGGCTAACCCACGTTAACAGAGAAATAAGAACTCTCTCTTACGCCTTCAAAAAGATGTTTTATTTGTGAAGGTTATACTGCTCGTATCACCTGTGTAGTACATGTAAGTGTTCTGTCTGCAGTACGACGTCACAGTGATCCTGAAGAGCGAGCCCCTCGTGTTGGAGGGGGGCTATGAGCAGTGGCTGCTGTACTACCCCACCGTTACCACCAACTCCCACATCCTGTGTCCCTCTCGCCCCGAGGACTTCATCACATCATCAGCATGTACGTGTCAGGCTGCCGTTGTACAAAGCAATCTTAGCGCTAAGGTGTTGTTATCCCCGTACTTTAACATGGACTTAAGACAGTCGTAGTGCTAAGGTGATTGTAACTCCCACACCTTGTCATGGATTTACAACAGTCGTAGTGCCAAAGTGATCGTAACTCCCATACTCTAACATAGAGTTACAACAGTCTAGCGCTAGGGTGACATTGTCTCCCATACCTTAACAGGATTATGAAAGTCGTAGTGCTACGGTGATCGTATATCCCACACCTTAACATGGATTTACAACAGTCGTAATGCCAAAGTGATCGTAACTCCCATACCGTAACATAATTTTAAGACAGTCGTAGTGCTAAGGTGATTGTAACTCCCATACCTTAACATGGATTTATGACAGTCGTAGCGCTAAGGTGATCGTAACTCCCATACCTTAAGATAGACTTACGACAGTTGTTGTGCCAAAATGATCGTAACTTACATACCATAACATAAATTTCCAACAGTCGTAGTGCTAAGGTGACCGTAGCTCCCATACCTTAAGATGGATTTATGACAGTCGTAGCGCTAAGGTGATCGTAACTCCCATACCTTAACATGGATTTATGACAGTCGTAGCTCTAAGGTGATCGTAACTCCCATACCTTAACATGGATTTATGACAGTCGTAGCGCTAAGGTGATTGTAACTCCCATACCTTAACATGGATTTATGACAGTTGTAGCGCTAAAGTGATTGCAACTCCCAAACTAACATGGACTTGAGACAGTTGTAATGCCAAAGTGATCGTAACTCCCATACCGAAACACCAATTTACGACAGCTGCAGCGCTAAGGTGATTGTAACTCCTAAACCTTAACATGGATTTATGACAGTCGTAGCGCTAAGGTGATCGTAACTCCCAAACTAACATGGACTTGAGACAGTCGTAATGCCAAAATGATCGTAACTCCCATACCGTAACATCAATTTACGACAGTTGCAGCGCTAAGGTGATTGTAACTCCCAAACCTTAACATGGACTTACAACAATCGTTGTGCCAAAGTGATCGTAACTTACATACCTAACGTGGACTTATGAAAGTCTCAGCACTGAGATGAACAGTAATTTGTATCTGTCATAGTTTGAAATTCGAATGCGTAAACTCACTGACCTTAAGACAGAAGAGATAATCATTCCCCATCAAGAGGAGACAAATCATGCCAGTCCACTTTTCTGAAAGCTTAAGACCCCAGGGTCTCCTTTCACGAAGCAACCTTTACTAAGGTTAACCTTAACTCCTATTCTTTAACATTGCACTAAGGTTACCTTAGTGACTTATGATCACCTTAGTGCTTTGTGAAAGGAGGCCCATGGCCCTTATTCTCGAAATGTTCGTAGCCCTAAGTATTCTTAACTTTGATTGTAGCCAATGTGTTAAGAATGGGCCTAACAAGTTCGTTGGGCTACGAACGTTTCCAGAATAACTAACCAGTTGCCATAGTTGCTGTCCTTTTTATAGCCTTCAAAATTCACGCTTGTCCTCGAGCCGAAGACAATTAAGTTTTGCAGATGAGAAGTAAAAATCAAATGAACAGTTTTTCATATTTCAAATTTATCACAAATTTGAAGTAAAAAACAGTGACAGAAAATGTAATGTATGATCTTTACAAAAAAGAAAATTCAGCTTTTATAATATCTCAATGCCATCATTATCAGTATTATCAAATGGTTTATTTTTCAGTGGATTTTGATTACCCTGACTTTGATGAACCCTCCAATGATAAACAGCCACTTATCAACCAATCAGGAGCCTCTATCCCAACTCAAGCTCCCAATGGAATGTCACAGCCTTTACTTCCTTCCGTAGATCGCTCACTTAAACCCAAACCAGTCACAAGATCTGTTAATGCTGCCCCACTAAACAACAAGACCTCCGAACCCAAAGTAGCAAACAATCTCAAAAACACAAACACAGAACCACAGGGTGATAAACTTGATGGTTTTAAGATCATTTCAAATTCGCTCTATCCCAGTGTTGGGCAAATGGTTGCTAAGAACATTGTGCGAAGTAACTCAAGGACCGATTCTGGTGTGGCGCCAGTGGACGTGAAACCTAAGATAGAGAACAGCGATGTTGATCAGGAACTTGTGGAGTTGACAGAGATAAAGAAGAAGAAGGAGGAAGAACTACATGACTTCAAGTCTGAGCGGAAACGGATGGCGGCCGAGCACAAGGCACGGACAGCGAAGTTGGAGGAAGAGGAGGAGAAGTTGCGTCAGTTGGAGAAACTGCGGAGGAAAGAGGAGAAGGATGTTGTGGAGCTGATGCGGCTGAAAAGGAACCTGCAGGAAGAGATGAAGAATGAACAGATCAAGCAGGATGGAGAGAACAAACAAACAGAGGAGGAAGAGAGGAAGAGGTAAGCCAAAACAAATTTTGTAAGCAGGCTCTTGTGCTGTGATCAGTGTGCGAAATAGTTTCCAATTCATTTTCAGAAGAAGTCCTCCTTGGGGTACATATAAGCATTTAAATGTCCATTTTAAATCCTACGACAGTTGTAACAATATTGTAATAAAAATATTTACAAAACAAAAAACTCATTTTTGCCTTGTGAGACCACCCCTACAGGCCCCCCCATGGCCCCCTATATGGCCCCCCTACAGCCAAGAGCAGGTAACTCTGTCTGTTTACCTCGTATCTCACTTTTCATGCTGTCGTTCTCTAGAACAGATGTGTGTGATGTCCTTATAGTCTTATCTCTTCCTATAATCGACGATGAGTGATAAAGATTCTCCAACTGTATGTATGGTTCCTCTCTTTACGCACGGGCGTTAGATGGACGTCACATATTGATATTTTCATTCATCATTTGTTGTAACTTTGTGCTGTGGGTCTCTGTTTTCCAGCCATGTGGCAGGCAAAATGGCGGACCACACGGTTGTGGTTTCCTCTCTACATGTTAGATGTTTAGCCTGTAGTTGTGATATTATGTTTGCATATTATATGATAGGCTTGCCTTAATTCTCGTTTTTTAAAGCGAATTTACGGTAAGTCGTTGTGAGTAATTTGATGATGTGTTTGTTTCTTTTCACAGTCAATTTTACTCCATTGGCTGTAGGTGATAACATTTAAATATTGCTCGTGCATTTTATTTATTGCTTTTTTACTTGTATTTATATGTGTGCTGCTTCACAGTTCCGGCTAGTAACACTGACGTGGTTCTGTTTGTTGCGGTTTAAGCCCTGTGCGTTGTGTAGTGCCACACTACCGCACAGGTGTGCCTCCGGTGTTTAGTCGAGGAGGCTCACGCCCATCAAGGATGTTTATAATTAGTGCCCTTGCATTAATGTTTTCCTGTTAAGTTATGTTGTGTTATGTTTTCATACGTATACACACAACGTGCCTCATGGTGACCAAGGTTGTGTTTTTTGCGCTTCACGCGTTTTGTTTTATGTTTTGTTTCACTAATCTGCTTCAGGCGGGGGGTGATATTTTCCATGATTTATCAGGCTACTCCTACGTGTCTCATTTCTAGCACTGACCTGGGCTTGGGAAACCAGTCGGAAGCAGATCCCCGGCGCCGGTAGTTCAGCTTGACCAAGAGGCTATCGAGTGTGCCGGATATGCCAGTCACCTCGACGCTCCACGGTTTGTCTGAGTGCTTGGGGTACCCTGATTTATCAGGCCACTCTCATGTGCCTCGGAGTTTGGGTCTATCGTCAGTCGGCTGTCCTTTCTCCTTAACAGCTCTACGCTGTATGCTACACTCGGTTCATTGCTCTGCGGAGCTGGTAGAAAGGGGAAAGAGCGCCGGTGATTCTTCCACTCTGACGGAGGTCCACACTCATCTGGCCAGGGACTGCATTGTAGCTGTGCCAGCCAAATGATGAGTGCGGAAGTCTGTTGGGCTTCTTGTTAATCCCTCGTTATTTTGCCGGCTGCAGGGGTTTACTGTATTCTGCCGCAAATCTCGGTGGGAGTGCGACACGCACCAGTGTCAGCTTCCCTGGAGATGACGGAAATACTTCGTGCCCAGATCCAGTCTCTGCTGGGCATGGCAACCATCGAGGTGGTTTCAAATGGTCAGGGAAATGTGGGGTTAGACTCCACTTAGTTCCTCGTTACCATAAAGAACGGAATGTTCAGATCCTTTCTCATCTGAGAGCTGAACAAGTTAATAGAGGTACTGTCCTTTAGGATTGAGACACCGCGCTCAGTGATCTCATCCGTCGAGACAGGGAATTGGCGGACGTCAATCGACCTCAAGGTCGCATACTTCCTTGTTCCAATGCACCCCAATTTCAAGAATTACCTTCGGTTCTTCTTCAGCAGGACGTGCTACCAGTTTTGTGTGCTCCCCTTAGGCTTCTTTACGGCGCCAATGATGTTCACAAAATTGGGGTTTATTCAAGCTCAGATAGCCAGATAGCAGTGCTGGTGTTGTCACCCGTAACTAGGCGACTGGCTCATCGGGGTTCTAGAATAACAGTTGAGTCTAGAAACCTAGCGATCAGTGTTGGTCACTCTTATGAAACAGGGCTGAATTGGCAATCTCAAGAAGTCGGACCTCGCCTTGGAGCAGATTCCGGTCTTTCTTGGGGGTGATGCGAGTTTGAGGATGAGACCCATGCAGCAAGCTTTTGCAGCTGGGGTCCTACTCATGGAGCTACGAGAACTTTCTCGAGACCAGAGTGGTTGATTCCTCTTTGCAGTGGTGGGCAGACATCGGGCGTCTCTCCAAGGGGCTCCCCTGGAGATGCCGTCGCTCTCAGTCCAGACAGATACATCCCGGATTGGGGCGATGTTCTGGGCGACGTGTGATCTCTTGACAACGAAGTCACTACCTGCACATCAATGTGCTGGAATTGACAGCAGTCAGGTTGGTGTTCGATCCCTCACGCAGGGTTTCGAATTACCTTTAAGGCCAGACATTCTCTCTCTGAATGGGACGCCACACCCGAACCTCAGATTCTCTGGGTGGGTGGGTCTCTGTCGGGTCTAATCTCCAGACACGCGGAATTCCTGCAGCAGTTGCAGACACAATTCTGGTTTCGAGGCTTCTGACACCCATTCAGTATGTTGATAGGTGGGGCGCACTGGTGTGCAGATTCTGCGGATTTAGTTCGGATATTGGAGTTACTATAACCCCGTTTTGGTTGAGAGCCTTATGGCCTCCACCATTCCCGTGTACTCCATGGGTATTTCCACGTTTCACACCCAATTCGATTGTGCTCTGCCTAGGCAGCACTCTCTCGTACAGCGCTTCGTGTCTGCCCCTGACTTTTCAAGTATATCGTCTCTCTCACTTCACTTGTTGATGTGGAAGACGGCTTTACTTGTGGTGGTGAGCTCTGGTAGAAGGGTCGGGTACATCCATGCGATACCCACCGACCCAACACTGACAGTATTTTATACTGATCATGTCCGTATTCGCCTCCCGGATACCTACCACTCTCAGATCGATATTGCTTTCCAAGTGACAGCTCATATCGAACTTCCACCGCTTACCCAGCCTTCCACATCGGGGCCGATCTTTCGAGTGCTCACCCGTTGGAGTGACTATAACAAACAAATGAAAGGGATCCGTACGGGTACCGATGTGTTCTGTTTGGTGGTGGGAAGACTGGGAAATCTGCTAGCAAGCAGACTTTACCTTGTTGGCATGTTCCGTAATTATTCGGTTACAATGCTAAGGTTTATCTTCATCCGAGGGGTTGAAGGCACACTTGGTGAGGGCAGATCCTGCTTTGTTGACAATACACAGTGGCACTGCTCAATGAAACAAACACACACACACACACACACACACACACACACATTCATGTTAAAGGTAGTAACCGGGGACACTAAAAAAACACATGCAACTGGGGACTTTTTCCCCTGTTGGTCTAGAGCTATAAGATTTACAAGAGTTGCCTACCCGGCTATGTAACGTACTTCGGGATGTTGACAGAAACTCTAGGAAATTTTAAAGCAAGAATGATTTTTTACATTGGAACCGGGGTCACACACGAAGAGTGTGTGTGTAATTTTCACCGTGCAACCGGGGACAGTGTGTATAATTTTCACCGTGCAACCGGGGACAGTGTGTATAATTTTCACCATGCAACCGGGGACAGTGTGTGTAATTTCACCATGCAACCGGGGACAGTGTGTGTAATTTTCACCGTGTAACCGGGGACAGTGTTTGAAATTTTCACCATGCAACCGGGGACAATGTGTGTAATTTTCACCGTGTAAACGGGGACAGTGTGTGTAATTTTCACCATGTAACCGGGGACAGTGTATATGTCTTCACTACGCAAATGGGGACAGTGTGTATAAGAAACGGGGACAGAGTTTAGAAGAATTTGCTAAGCAAACGGGGACGTGTGTATAAAAATTGTTCTAAGCAATCGGGGACACTTTATAATGTTTAACAACCAAACCTGAACAGTGCTTATTTGATTTACTCAATACAACTAGGGAGTGTGTATAGGAATTTGTTCTGAGCAGCCGGAGTTCGTAAAAATAGAGTTGACTTGTGAACCAATGTCAATATCTGATTTAAGATCCCTCCTCGTTTATGCTTGGGGGAGTATACCCCCTCGGGAAGAAAGCATCGGAAAGCTACTTTGGAAGGGAGATCGTGTGTGGGGACTATTTTCGAGACAAAAATTGTCAAATCTACTGTATTTTAAGGTATGTTGTATGAGAAAAATGAAGAGCGGCCTAATGCAGCACACAGAATATATAACTGAAACAATACGGACCATTGCAGGCCGTCATCTAGTCCCCGAAATATTTTGATATCATAATTATATTTTTGATGTTATATAATAAAGTTTAAGTTAAGACATTTACATTTTAATTCTTAGGCGCCCACTGGAGGCAGCTTAGCTTATACAGACTTTCTGAAACTAATCTGGACTTGAAATTTTCTCTCATTTATCATAAACAGATAAATGGATGGCAAGACTAGAAAAGTCCTAATGGCTTAAAATGATTAATGACAATTATATTAATTAACGTCTATTAGGCATGAGTGTCCAAGGTGACCTTGTTGACGGGAATATATGTTGCTGTTTGATGTTATTGTTGTCGCCAAAGAGTGTTCAGTAAAAGAACTGTCCTCGGTCAAAAAAAGTATTGGTAAAAAGTCCTAAATGTGCCTTGTTAAAAAAACTGCCGGTAATCAGTTATTATTTTTTCTATTGACATACATACAAAAGATATATGATATGTCGTGTCATGACGACAGCTTGTTGATATGACTTAAAGTCTGTATCTTGATCAAGACAGTTCTATTTGAGAGTTCTTCATGTTTTTATCAAAATCTTTGATGTCACTCTTATCAAAATACATAAGTTTTTTTCTGCATTAGACGTTTTTAACTGGTGCTTTTTATTACCGAGGACTTTCTTACAAAGGACGTTTTTC